GAAAAAAAAAACTGCCTCAATTTACGGTAAAAAACTGGCAGCTGTGGTTGCCAGAATTTTACCGTATTTTTAATATACGGTAAAATACTGCATTTTCAAAATACAGTAAAATACTGGCAGTTTTGGTTGCCACAGTTTTACCGTATAAAGACGGTAAAATTCTGGCAACCACAGCTGCCAGTTTTTTACCGTAAATTGAGGCAGTTTTTTTTTTCACAGTGTACTGCTAGTCATTTGCAGAAGCAGTGGGTGCAGTAGAGTCTTTTGGTTAGAAACAAAGACTTCTGCATGTCACGGTCACGATGCTTGTACCTTGAGACATGCCAAAGCTTTACATCCACACACTCTGGTGTCTATGTTTTCATCTTCCAGCAGCTCCAAGCAGTGCACCAAAGCCTGAGGACAGAAAGCACAAAAGTGAGAGTTCAGTTTGGGCAATGCTGTCTACAGTATGTATTCATTTAGACATTCACCCATTAGAGTTTGTGGTATATTTCTGTCAAATTTTGACTTTCTCTTTAAGTTCTACAGTATATTGTGAAAAGAAGTAAAAACTAGATGCCCTTCCATTATCTGCCATTAATTATTAACTATTATTTTAAAGCAAACACAAAATGATTTGAGTTAACATTTAAAATGATCTTCTGCATCATTTATCAGTGGTTAGAATGGTTGCTGTCTCTCTGACAATCTGGTCATTAAGATTCAGATGTCATGAAGTAAATACACTAAAATCATTAGAGCTGTATTCTCCCACTTCAGTAACAGACCATCCATCCATCCATCCATCCATTACATACATACAGACCTGTTCTCTCTGTGTGGGCTGAGCAGTCAGGCCTCTTAGTAAAGTGCTGGCAGATGTTGACACTTTGCGTCGTGGATCTTTCAATAAGTTGGCAACAGCATGGAGCTCTCCTCTCCTCAGGCTGCGCTCAGGAGGCCGTCTCAAAGTATTCATAATCACATTCAGGTCAGTGGATCTGAGGCTCTGCACCAGGAACACTGTGGAAAGTGTTATACAATTTTACTGTGAAATTTTATTCTAATACAGAATGTAACTTTGTCAATGTGTCTGATAAAGTTACTGGTTCCTCTGAGCTTCACACAGAATGAACAAGATCTCAGAAGATAGCAGGCAGATACTTTATTTTATGAGCTTTAGGTAAGTAGGTGTTATCTCAGTTTACTGTGGCAAAAATTAACTTGCCTCAGCCCAAGACAAATGTCTTCTTACCACACATCTAGAGAGGAACAATAGCATAAAGTAAACACTTTTTTCAGAAACTAGTTGACCTTTCAGATTCAGATTTCACGTAGCATCACTATACATTCAATGAAGCTGCTCTTATTAACTTATCATCTGTTTGTCAGCAAGCATGCATGTCTGCGCGTGTATGTGTGTGCGCATACCCTCTTCTGCTAGCTCAGAGATGTGTGTCTCCATGTCAGTGATCCCGTTAGACTCCAAATAACTCCACAGCTGGAACACTGTGATAATTCCTTTGCCTGTGTTGCCTCGTCGTAGTAACCTCTGATCCAAAATTTGCTCAACGAGGTACAAGAACACTAACCCGCCCCCCAAAAAACAGCTTTTAGCACAGTAAGAACATGCACAGAGACACTGAAATAGACTTTTCTGCATGTATTATGTTGTACCTGCATCTGACCCTCCATGAGGCATGCTGGAGTATGATGTAGACAGAGTGGAGAGAAAGTTCTCAACAGAGACACAGTACACAGTGCCGCACTCTGTACTCTGCTCCCAGAGGGACAGGGCACCGAAGCAGTGGCCCATCTCTGGTATCACTGGAACAGAGGAAGCAAGACAGCAGCAGGTCAGCTGACCAATTTGATACAATAAGGAACCATTAGGAACTGAGGCTAGTCCTCTGGAAGTTCTGGTTAGATATTGTATATGTAACCAGATGCAAAATATTTGTTCTTCATGTAGATGTAGAGAGCATGCACTCACTGAAAAAAGAAAGTACACCCTCTTTCAAATTGAAGGTTTAAGACCTGGTCTTTCCCAGGGGTCTTCAGGTGGAACACCATAGACAACAGATTCCAGCAATTATTCAGTCAAAAAAGATAAAGCCAAAAATGTAAAAAAATAAAAAAAAAAATTAAAAAAAATAAAAAGGCAGGTACAAAACTTCTTACATCCATGACTCAAAATATTGTAGAACCATTTTTAGCAGCAGAACCGTCAGCAGTTGCTCTCTGACTGACTTTAGCAGTCACTCGGATCATTGCAGACAGATTTCAACTCACCCTTATTTTCACTGTTGCTTCAGTGCTTTAAGGTTTGTAAATAGCTCTGTGAAAGTCCCACTACAGCATTTAATTCAGAAATGCTGTACTTTGACTGGGCCATTGCAACACTTTGTTTTGCAGTGCCTGCTGCATTTGGGTCCACTTTAAACACTCATTATGACCAATAAATATCAGTGAATTTTAATATATGACTGAATGCTTTATTATCAAAGCTTGTCTGTGATAAAACAAAGTGAAATTTGTTTTGTGTTTGCTAGTCATCTGTGCCTAGCAGTGATTTTTGTATCAAGGAAAAATAAACCAGCTGGTTTAAATTGTGGTTTGAGATCACTAAGCAAATTTTACCTGCTTTGGAGGGAATTGACTTCCCTGGCTGATTACCTTCAACCTTAGACTGAATAACAACCTAAATTCTAATTGATGGTTTATCACTCAATCATTTTTTTCCCCACCTGTCTGAGATGTTCTAGCCATTCTAGCAATGGTTCTCTTTGGGGACAGAGGTCTTGGAAAAATTGCAGGATCAGGAATTAAGCATATAAACTGACCATCAATTAACAACTTAAATCTTTAAGATGATTAAACAAACAAAAAAATACATTGTTAAAAATGTTTGTGTGTTACTGTATTTCAGATTTGGATTTGTCAGTTAGCCCATTAGCAGCTGGAAAAATGGACTCAACTCATAGATATCAGTACAGTTTGCCTCAGGTTTGAGGCGGATCACATGGCATGAAGTTGCTGTGTGGAACTTTAAAATTAAACCTGGTTCAGATGCTATAACCCATAAGGTCGCACCATAACTTACCTTCAGCAGGCTGCCTGGGCCGGTTGGGGTTGTCCCTGACGATTCGAAGGATGATTTCAAAGACACGTGTCTCTCTCAGCAGTTTGTCTAAGGCGTACATCTCTCCACAGCGCAGGGGACCAAACATGCCAAGACGCTAAATACACAGCGCACCAAGACACCAACCAGGAGCAAAACAGGCATTACATTATCTTAGAAGCAAAACCCTCTGGGGTGTTTGAACTGAATCTATTTTTACTAACACAGTGACTATTGAGCATGCTTGATCACCTTTATGTTCTAAAATAACAAATCCAAACATAAACAGTTCAGCCCAGAAGGAATGATTTGATCTGACCGGCCTCATCAGTGTGGGGACGGTGGTACAGACACTTATCCAGTTTAAACAGGAACATGACCTCAAGTTAAAGACACACCAGTGGGTACAGAGTTTGATAGTGGTCTCATTATCCGATAGCATGAGGCAGGGCGAAACTCGACAGTACCTGGCCACATACAAACCCACAAGAAAACTCATATCAAACTGCTGTTTTATGCATCTTTGATTTTTATTCACCATTTTGACTGAGTCCAACACTGGAGCACAAGGGCTGCAACACCATTGCTGCACTCATCGGGCCACCACTTGAACCCTTTAGTGCCTGTTCTACAGTTAGCAGTTCCTTGCAGATCCTTACAAACATCTGAGGTATGAGTTCCATCCACATTCTGTCCAATTAAAACCATGTCTTTTGACTGCTTTACTTGATTTAGTAATGGTGTATAAACAAAGCAATGCGTCTTACTCTGCATGATGTAATAAGGACAAAAGTATCTTTAGTGGTTACCGATACTCTGGTATCTACAGGAACACTTTTTCTAGAGCAAAGCCCTGGACATCTAAATACAGTAAAAATGGAATGTGAAAGGTCCAGAACACATACCAAAAGCTGTGTCGTGCAGTTCTTCAGATGGATCACCAGGGAGGAGTCCAGAGTGGCACAGCTGGTGGTGAGAGGTGAATGGAGGAGGGGAGGACTGTGCCAGCCCCCATGCTCTCGTCTATATGAACAGAAAGCACAGAACATTCTAAGTGAGATGGTTTTGATAGTACTAAAGAGATATAGTTTACTATAGGTCAAATCTCATATATTGAGTATTTTTGCGCTTCTTTGTTAAGCTCAATGGTACAATAAAAATAAGAAGCCCTAACAAAACAAAGTAATCGGCACATGAATACACCTTTGGTTAGTTTTCAACCAATGTTCCAGAGAGTTTTAAAGCTGGAGTAGATTCCACATGTCCTGATATAAACTGACAAACCACTGTTCTGGTGTGTCATTAGGGAAAGAATTGAGTCAAAAAGGTAAGAGCTCTCAATGCACCAGAACATCTACTTTCTGGCTCTGGTCAGGAGTTTTGGATTCTGATCCATAGAAGAGATCCTGGATACAAGGGGCTGAAACAGTCCTTATGGAGGGGCCCAGAGTCGAGCTGTTGCTCATCCTCACTGAAACAAGTCAGTTGAGGTGTTTTGGAAATCTGATCAGGATGGCTCCTTTAGAGGATTTCCAGAGACTTCCTACTGAAAGGAGACCCCTGGCAGACCCAGAAACCACTGCAGTGAGTGTGTAACCTTTGGAGCCTGAAAACATATTTGATCTTTCTGAATGAGTGGTGCAGGTAAGAATGATGTCTGGATTTTACACCTGTACCTGTTACCCTCACCATCCAATGTATGGATGCTCAACATATTAGTAATCTAATGTCAGCTACATCTACCCTGTGACTCATGATGCCATGCTGGTAAATAGAAAAAGACCAAATGGAGCCTGAACAGGAAGAAGGAATTTTTTATATTGCTTTAATCACTGCACTGTTCTGGGACAGAGTAGTAGGCTACATTTGTAACTCTGGCATTATTTCTTCCAGATAATTTTGGAGATATCCCAAATAACAGGAAAACTACACAAATTGTTTGCACCAGCCTTCTGCTGCCCACACAAGTTTGTCTTGGACAGAACGCCCTTGTTTTAACAAGGCAGTTGTCCAAATGTCTTTACCTCACAATGCTTCCAGAACAATTCATACCAACATGCATTTGTGCTTGACATCTTTTTGCAAATAAGCTCTGATATCAACATATTGCCTTTTATGCTGTCACTTCAGACACACTATCTCCTGTAGTTCTATTTTTAAACACTAGGTGGAGCCACAAAGAGTTAAATGCAACTCTGATATTATAGTTTCAGGAGATTTTTTTCAATCTTATAATTTGCACAAAATAATCCTACTATGGTTATATTCAGCTGTGCACTTGGTTGCAAAATTAGCATGGTTTCATTTAATCATTCTTGTTCAAGACTCCATCTGCCAGGACAGCAAAGGTGACCTTAAACTGAATATCAGGAAACTCTGTAGAAACAACACATCCTGAAGCTTTTATTGAAGTCCTTGCAGATTCTGCAAGGACCTGAAGTCTCATACTGAAGTTCTAGATCACATGTGTCAAACTCAAGGCCTGGGCCACAAAAGTGACCTGCCATAACTTATGTGAAAGGATGCTCAATATTTATTTTTAAGAAATACTCATCAAATGCAGAGATAGATATTAACGTTTTAATAGTTTGTTAATGGGTAGTTTTATCCATACATTATTCCACAACCAGCTGCTTTAGAACACTCGTGATCTTGATGTGGCCCGAAATGAAAGTGAATTTGACACTCATGTTCAGACGATCCAAAACATTGTTCTTTCACTACAACATTCTTAGCAGCGATTTTCTTGCAACTGGGGCAATTTTAATGCAAAGAGATCATGGCTGAACTCTTTTCTTCTTTAGTTGTGACCATTATTAACACAAAAAGACAGAAAATTAATCTACATAACTGCATCTTTTATAGCACACTGCTACAAAGATTTGGCACTGAAATGTTTTTCTTTAGGAAGGAGCCAGTAGTATGGAACTGATGATCAGGATGTCATAAGCTCAGTTCAGTACCAGGAACTGAACAGAGCACAATAATATGGAACTAACTTGAAGAGTCTGCAAACTGAAGACAGAATTTGCTAAACATTTCCAAAGTACTTCTAAAATAAACTGCTTTCATGTTTAAACTAATGCCACACCTGCTTCAGTTATAAAATACCTGAGATCCACTAGGTGGCAGATTGATTCTGGCAACATTATGCATCACCCAGCGTAATCAGAGTTGTTGTCACATTGTGATGTGTTTACTGACCTGCCATTCCTCATCTTCCTGCTACTCATCTTCTCCTCCTCTTCCTCACAGTCAGACAGAAAGTCAAAGCTGCCCAAAGCTGATTCTACTGAGAGGCTGGCCAAGCTGGCTGAACGGCTGTGACTGTTCCCCTACACACACACACACACACACACACATGCACACATAGAGAGTCAGAATCATGACACGAGCTTCCATGTTTCAGTTAGTTTATCAACAACACAGCTTCTGATTTTAATTTAACATAGTCAGTTCAGTAATAATCAACAACACAAAAATCCCAGACAAAATGTGTGATAGCATTGACAAGTGCTCACTTATTTTAAAACTTGAAGCAAAGCAAAAGGAAAATGTATGGTTTCTGAAAGCCTCTTTAGTTCCCTTTAGATTGTGCTGTGTTTATAAGGACAATGCATTAGTGGATTGATCCACGTCCTGGTTCTGTTGGACCTCAGTGCAGTTTTTGACACTGCTGATCATGATATACTATTGAAGCAATTGGAGAGTTGGGTAGGACTCTATGATCCAGGACTTAACTGATTCTAATCTTACCAAAGGAACAGAGATTTCTTTGTGTCAACAGGTAACTTCTCATTGGTGCTGAGAGAAGCCACATGCGGGGTAACTGAAGGGAGAGCATGTATTTAACATGTACATGCTCCCCCTAACTCAGGTTATAAGTATTAAAATTAGCTACCATGATGACATAGATGGTACACAGTTCTATATTATGATGTCACCAGGTGACACTGAACCATTTAAGCACTGAACAGATGCTTAGAACAGACAAATGTGTGCCATAATTTTCTCAAGCTGAACAGAAACAAAACCTAGAGGAAAAATCTAAAGTCAGCATGCAGCTTCAGTCATCTGCACTACACTGCATCTCCAGAACCACAACCAGACATGGAGAAGCAGCATTCAGCTTCTACGCACCAGAAATATGAAACAAACTTCCAGAAAACTGCTGAAATACTTAATTCCTTTAAATCAAGGCTTAAAAGGTTTAAAATCCACCTACTTAGAGTTGTTTTAGAACCATAACTGGAATTTGATCAATATATTTGATGTATATTTGTATAGTGTATAAATCTATATATAAAGCTATATTGCATACAAATCTAACTGCTCTACTGAGGATGCCATCTCCACTGGTCTTCATCTGAGCCTGGTACACCTGGAGAAAAGAAACACCCACGTACGGATGCTATTTTTGGACTTCAGCTCATTATTCAATACGATCATCCCCCAGGGCTTGGTATGCAAACTGGTCCCCCTGGGGTTCAATACTCCTCTGTGCAACTGGCTGCTGGACTTCCTCACGGACAGAACTCAGTCTGTCCATATGGGTAATAACACCTCCAATATCATTTCTTTAAACATTGGCTCCCCACAGAGCTGTGACCTGAGCTCCCTGCTGTTTACCCTGATGCCCCACGACTGTCGTCCCAGGTTTGCACATTAGGTGCACATTACAGACAACCTCAGCTGGACACCTCACATCGCTTCACTGGTGAAAAAGGCACAGCAGCGCCTGCACTTTCTGAGATGAATGAGAAGGGCTGCTCTGCCGCCTCCCATCCTCTCCACTTTCTACAGAGGAACCATTGAGAGCCTGCTGACCAGCAGTATCTCCATCTGGTCTGGGAGCTGAAAGGCCTCAGACTGGAAGTCTCTGCAAAGAGTGGTGAAGACAGCAGAGAGGATCGTTGGGGCTCCACTCCCCCCATCCAGATCATTGCACACAAACACTGCTTAGCCAGAGCAAACCAGATCCTCTCTGATTCCACTCATCCTCTCCATGGTCTGTTCATCCGGTTACCGTCTGGGAGGAGAATCCGTAGCATCCGCTGCAGAACAGACAGACTCAGAAATAGTTGTCTCCGACTGGCCATCAGATTGCTCAACAATCCCATCATGAAGACTCTCTGAGACTGTTTGAAAATAGTAATTATTATTTGCATATAATTTAATTATAGGCACACTTGTGTTTTTGTGTGTGCTCCGGTGGCCAAGCGATGACATTTCATTGCCAATTTTACTTGTTTCTTTGTGCAGTGACAATAAAATAAGTCTAAGACTAATATTTGCTTGATAATTTTAATGGTGGCATTTGACAAAATGTAACGTCCATTGATGGCTTCATAATTGATTACCATGTTTTTTATGGTGTAAAGCACTTTGGACCGCCTTGTTACTGAAATGTGCCATACAAATAAACCTGACTGAACAGTATAATTCATTATATGGATTGCCCTGAAAAACTGATAAAACTTCTCTGCAACAACTATAAATTGCTTGTGTGGCAACATTTCAGCTACTTTATACTCCAGACTACTCTGTAGTTCAAAATTGCAATTTCTACTCAAACGTGAACTAAACAGTTGAAGGATTTTGTTCTATTTATAAAACCTCAAACGTATCATTTTGAATACTAGTGTTTTCAGCACCTCATTAGATAAGCATTAAAATGTCAACACATGGACTATTCAAACTTGGACTGAAATAAGTTACTGTACAATGATTACAGATTTTCTAAATAAAATGTTTCATTTGTGCTGCAAAAATCTCCGGTCTCAACATCTCATAAGTTTGTATTGTTATAAATAACTATCGACTTTTTTTTGTAAATCAATGCCCAACTCAGACATGACAGTGGTTTAAAACTGATAAACATTATTGTCAGTTCAGCTGGTCTAAATTTTGAGTTGGAATTGTTTTAAGATTGTAACAAACTGTTGTGAATGCAGCACTTAAGTTTTAACCACTACAGTGGATCATGGTGGCATTGACATCTGTAGTCATGAAGATACTGGAGGGACTGGACTTCTTCCATCTTAAAACTATCATCGCCCTCCTCCTTTGGAGTTCACCTAGAGAGCCAGCAGGTCTGCAGACGATGCTATCACTTTGGCCTCTCATTTCATTTCGCAATATCTGGACTGCCCAGGAGCCCAACCCAGAATCCTGTTGATGGACTTCAGCTCTGCATTCAATACAATCTGGCCAGATCTGCTCCAAGTCAAGCTCAGCTCAGTGTTCCCTGACTCCATCTGCAGGTGGATCACCAACTTCCTGTCGGATTGGAGGCAGTACATGCGGGTGGGGAAGGACATCTCAGAGACTCGGTTCCCCTCAAAGCTGTGCACTTTCACCTCTGCTCTGTATACCAACTGCTGCACCTCCAGCCATCAGTCTGTGAAACAGATCAAGTTTGCAGAAAACACCACCCTTATCTGGCTTTTCTTGGACAGAGATGAGTCTGATTACAGGACGGAGGTGGATCGACTGGTGGCCTGGTGCAGCAGTGACAACCTGGAGCTCAGTGTCCAGAAGACATTGAGCTCAATGGACCTTTCCGTCTCCATTGTGAACTCCTTCTGCTCCTGTTCTGATGATCAGCTCCCACCAGAACAGCTGGTGGGTTCTGGTCAGCTTCCACCATAACTTCAATGGGAGCAGTAAAAAGGTCCCAGTAAAAAAAGAAATGATCAAAGGAACGCCATAAATAAAATGAAAGCACATTTTAAATTGTAATTTAGTGTGTTATGACCAAGCCTGCTCGTCATCAATGACTCTGTTCTATTTCTTTATTCATGTTTTCCTTTTAAACCTTTTTTACAAGAAACCAAGAAGACTTGAGCAGTAAAAGTTATGTAGATTTTTAAATAAAGGAAAGTGTAATTAGATGAAAAAACTAAAACTTTTTGCTGCATACAGTTCTCAGCTACAGTATCCTATTCATTTCTACAGACATGTTCAGGTTTTCCATGCTTACCTTCAGAGTTACCTGCAGGAGCCTTAGGTTTTGTTCAAGTGTTTGCAACTCAGGAAACTGTCCTCTATAGTCATCCAAAGAGGAAAGAAGAATTTCCAGGGCATCCTCCAGCTCACTGTCCACCACACTGTCACTCCCTCCAAGTAACCAGCTTGCTCCCACACATGGCCTGTCCTCTTCCACCAGCACTTTTTGAGCTCTGTAGGTCCCATTTCTGCTGGTTGTGGATGGGTTTGTGTACTCTAAGTCAGGATAAAATCTGCTTAGCTCATCCCTCTCAGACTGGGGAAAAAAGGATTCTTCATGTGGATGAATGAGTGGGTCAGGAATGGGACTGACATCTGGGATTTCCTCCACAACACAGAGGCTTGGTGGAATCTCAGTGTGCATGAGGGAGGGGCTTGCTGGCTCAGATCGTCTACAGGGGATCTCTATGTCATTTATAGAGATCCCAGAAATCAGAGAGGTTACATCTCCTGAATCACCAACTGATGAATCCACAAACCCATCGGTGCTACTCTCACTGATGTGACTCAGAGAGCGAGAGTAAGACTGCCCATGTCCTGGGCTGGGGCTGATGGTTCCCACCAAATCCAGCTCCTCAAGAAGGCCATTTGTTACTGGTTCCTCTTCCATCATACTGCAAAGTAGTTACTATGTCAGTTTTTATTATTATTCAAAGATCACATCACATTACCTAAATGACTGGTTTATGTAAGTTCAAGTAATAAACATACTAACAAACAAACAAACAAACAAACAAAAAAACATCAAACATGCCTTGGGCTGTCGGCTACATATGGGAATTGGATGCCTGAAGCCTTTAAAGTGGAACTGCCATTGGGAATCTCAGATGGAGGAGGAGAATAGTGAACCTCGGGCTGTGGAGACGAAAAGGATGCAGGTTCGATTCCTGAGGTCCTTAACACACCCTGGAGCAACAAACAGACATGTGGTTACCAGTCAATGTCAATACCAGTTCTTCATAGAAATGGGCTGCTGGCCGGAATTGGTCCTGTAGGTTACCAGCCAGTCGGAAACTTTTTCTGGTCAGTGAACACATAACTAAACGGCAGCACTTAACAATAATGCTCCACAGTGCATACACCCTAGCTAAGTTAGCAATTTTCACTATTAGAGAGCTGTTTAAATAATTCAGAGGAATCACAGAAATGTAAGAAGCTATTCTAAAAAAACCAGTAGGCTATTATCTGATAATTGTCTGCTATTTATTTAGATGGGACTAGAGTAAGAGAGAGCAAGACCTCCAGCAGCTAGCAGGAAGGCTACATAGATTACAGTAAAGTAGCTAGGGTTCTGGCTATAGTGGCAACTAGCTGATTAGTTCAGCTTCTGAACTCTAAGATTCCCAATAGCATCAATAATTATTACTTATTGATGTTTACAATAAGTGATAAATAATACTACTTATCACTAATGCAATACAGCTTTGTAGCCTATCAATCAATTAATCAAATTTTATTTGTATAGCACATTTCAGCAGCAAGGCATTTCAAAGTGCTTTACATCATTAAACACAAAAACACAGAGTCATGCAACATTGAATAAATCAAAAACATTAAATTTCCTGCCAAGTCAAAGTTATGCCCTTCGAATCGGCAGAAAAAAAAAACAACAACCCCCCCTCCAAAAAAAAAAAAAAAACAAAAGGGCGCTCCAACCCGCACCTTTTAGGATTCGGATTAGTGTGAGTGCTCTTTCCTATAGAGGATCTTTGGGGGAGAGTTCTGACAGGCTGGCGCACCGGCAGCTGATTCCGAGTAATTGGCTGGTGGACTTTTAAGAAGCACTGGAGCAGTCACTCATCGCTCGATGGTCCCACTTGTTGAATCTGATGAGCTGTTGGAATCAAGCCAGGAACTAAGTCCGGACTTAGAGATCGCTTCCTGCCAATACCGAACATCTCTGCCTGCCGCTCTCCTCCCCGCTCCATCATTGGTCTTCAGTACACTCCCGGATCCTAGACTTTTCCCTCCGCGCAACTACCATCCAAGAGACGGTAAGCTTATCCCTCAAAACCAATCAAGATCTCTCAAACTCCGGTCCCTCTCCGAACAGAACCCGAGCTGACCTGCCTACCCGTTCTCTGGAGCACAATCAGATTTTATTTTTTGGAAAGAACCTCCATTAAACTTTCACTGATCAGTATTCTCTGGTTTTATGTGTGAACTTGCATGTGGGTCAAGAAACTAAAATCCAGCATGACGGCACCCCTTTTCAACAATGGGGGGGGGGACTACCGCAATAGTTATTTGTTTTATTAGGATCTTGAGTTGTCTTTGTCTTTGTTCATATTTTTTCATTTACTCAATGCCACTCTGCATTTGAGTCCTTTATAATTAAGACATCATGACAAATTTTCCCGTTAAGTAAGATTGAAACATCTCTCCTTCTAATAGAAATGACTAAACTTATTAGGTAGGAAAGTTAGGAAAAAAATAAGCTGTATGTCTGTATTCTCACATTACAGTTCTTAAAAGAAGCCAAATTCAGCTAAAACCACCATCAACAGGTCAAAGCTCCAGATAAACCAGAGATTAGGAATCTGCATGCCTTAAATCTGATTGGTTTTTTGGTATTTCTTCCTGCTTTTCTCGGTTATAGTTAGTTTCATCATAGAAAACAGAATTAAAATGGTGCAGTACATCTCACTATGTTACAAAACAACTTTTAAACCATTCTAAATTAATGATGATGAATTCTTTAGTAAAAGAAATGAAAACGAACACTGCTGTGAAAGCTAGCATGACCTGGAAAACTTCAATAAAAATCTTCGGTGTGTTACCGTGAGAGGTGGAGAGCTGGTTTCCACCGGCACAGACGACTGACGGCCGGAGGAGTCATCAGATGAGTCTGAGGTTGACCAGGGTGGCTCTTGTACTTCCCCATCTGGACTATCGTGGATCTGAAAGAGAAGAGCAGAGCTGGTCTGATGTGTGCAGCTTCATCTGTAGAGCTGGACTGAGTAGTTCTGCAGAGCTGGAGCACATGTTCTCACCTTTATCAACCAGCTCCTACTAGGTTTATATTTCTGTTTAAATTCTTCTTGTTGCTTACAATTCTCTCAATGTCCAGGCACAATTGTTCAGTAAAAATCTCTTCATTCACTGAAGATCATTTTTGTTTTTGTTGACTCAGTGTTGTATGTAACAAGCAGCCCTCTGGAGCTGGATGTCCTATCCATTTGTCATCTCTCCATAAAGTGCTGAACAATCATAACTACAGTTACTGGCAGCTTCAGTCTATACTACAAGGCTACTAGTGTCTGCTCTGAGGGTGGGCTTTCTAAGGACTTACTGCACTGAGTGTTTCTGGTGAATTGTCCCGACAGGGGCAGCTCTGGGTAAGTGTTCCCCTGAAGATGTCCATAAGAGGCCAGTGCTGCTGCCTTGGTGGACACCGTGGCAGAGACTGCACATCCAAGATGCAGCAGGTGGAGCAAAGAGTGTTGGAACAGTTGGGAGTCAGCTGCTGTTTACTCAAAGCAATGTCTGTCTGAACCATGGAGTCTTACTTCTGCTGGCAAAAATGATTTAACTAACAATCATGTTGGTGCTTCTTTAACCTATTTAAAGGGGCAGTATTATGTATTTTCCAGTCGCATAACAAAATTTTTTATATCCAAATCAAGTGACTGTTACTTTCAGTTGTTATAAAAATGTTGAATATATCAAATGTATTCAGCATTTTTGTGTAATTAAACATCTTGGAATTGGGCCTCTGTCTCTTTAAGAAACTCTGCTCTTTCTGAAACTCCACCTTCAGGAAGTCAGAGCCATGTGATCAACATGGCTCTGCTATCAACGCTTTAGCAAGTTTGTCTAGATGAAATGAGGACCAGAACCAAACCAAATAGAGATTTAAGCCCCAGGATGTTCTTAAAATGTTTTCCTTATGACACTTCCTCATTTTCTATAAACTGTTCCAGACAATATTTTGAGACCAACGATTTTTAAAAAGGGAAAAACCTACAGGGAAGGGTTGACTGCGTGCGGGTGGTGTCCCTGGTTGTCTCCGGATGTTTGATGAAACTGTTGGTGTTTTGTTGACAAGAGCAGCCTGGTCATCTTTATCAAATGGACTGAGAACATCATGAGAATTAGCGAGACAAACAAAACATGAAACCAAGAAGACGACCTTGTTAAAGAGATTAATGACTGATTCAAATGAATTACCGAATACATCAGTTTTTTTTTTTTTTTCACTTTTTCAACTTACTTCCAGGTGACTTCAAGGCTAAGTTTAAGAGTGCCAAGATCATTTATATCCACAGCTACCACCTGGGTGAGTGGAGCAAACAGGTCTTTCATTTCACAGGAAACATTCCCTACGACCACGTGATTGGCTAAGCTCTTCAATTCTGTCACCTAGGAAACAAAAGAGATGATTCAGGGTTAATCATTCAGGTCTAGATATAGATACTGTAAGATTAGAGCAGCTAATACCACTGCTACCCAGAGTTGCAACATTAATTTCCGGTCACCAACCTTCACAGAGAGGAACTCGTTAATGAGAGGGAGAAACACCGTCTCTTCACTGTCCCACACCTGCTTGGCGTTGATTTCTATCCTTCCCCGTAGTTTCCAGCGCTGTCGGCCATACTTCATAAAGATCTAAAGGCACACACAGAAACATTCCATATGTCACATAAAAGCAGACTTTATTTTAGCCAGTCACCCTATCTACTTTTAAGACTTTGCTTACACGCTTTCCTGTTTGATCAAGTTTAGTTACTGGCTTAAATTATCCAGAGCTCTCTTTGTAATTATGCTGTTATAGGCTTATGTTTATATCCAGCTCTTTCTACCATTAACTTTGAGCTATCATAGAATGTTCTCTGGACCCTTGAGATGTTTTTTACTCTTTGTCTCCCTTTAGTGAAACAAGGCAGCTGGTTATCCTGAGCCTGGTTCTGGTGCAGGTTCCTCCTTGGAGATTTTTCTCCCCACTGTTGCTCCAAGCTTGTTCTAATTTTATAGCAAACTGAACTCTTTTTACTGACTGGATTTTTATGAAAGAATGTATTGTCATCTGAATGGATGGGATTGAATTGTGAAAACTGAATTTGAACTTGACTATATTAAATAGAATTATAGTGGGGTTTCTTGGTCTGTATTGGACTGCAGATGGGCTTGGATTGTTTTGTCCTGTAAAGTTACTCCAGTTATTCATTAATTGAATAAAACAAAACTGTTTTTCCTGTCATTCAATCAAATGGTTTTGTTCCCTGAAACACTTGCTACATCTTGGAAAACATAAGAACTAATTATACCCACAACAGAGATAACAGAAGAAATACAAACAAGGCAGAGCTGATGTTCTGATGAAATGACAAACCTTGGATCAAATGTTTCAGAGCATTGTAAAGAGGTTCCCATCATTTCAGAAGTGGAATCCAGATCATGTACATATCTCTAAACTGGTCTAAAAACCCCAAACAGAAACCAAACCAAAGCATTCAGTATCTTCCACGTTTACACACCCACTGGAAGTAGTAAGGCTGGGTTGGTGGAAATGAAGAGAAATTCTATGTGTCTCAGGGTCATGTGACTGCACTGATTATAACGTCAGCTGAAACGCATGTCAGGAAACGCTGCTGGCCTCATGTCAGTAAGGTCAGACAGCCCTGCAGAGCTGGATGCAGTGACTCCATCTTCTCCTGTTGCAGACCGGCTCCAGGACCTGCTCCATCAACTCTGGGCCAAGTTGACTTAATGTGAAAGGTTGGACTGCTGGCTGGTCAACGTGATGCAGGTGATCCAAAGGTCTATATGCTGTCTTTGGATGTATTTTTTCTTAACATACTGTTCCAAGGTGCTGTTTCAGGTGTGGTTAGACACACTGATGCAGGAAGTGACATCACACTGTGGCATCAGGATCTCCTCAGCCACTCCTAGAGGCTAACACCTCCTGCCACAGCGCTTCCAGAAGCAGCTCTGATGTTTAGCCAGTGGTGCTGCCATACAGCAGTCAGCCATGATGTAGCACAGATGAGACTCACTGCTGAACTTGAGGAGAAGCTATTTGTCGTCAGCCACTATGAAGATTTTTACAAGCACACATAGTTTCCATGTGATGTCTAGTTTGAACCGTTCCTTTGGCTTAACTGTAATGTCAGTGAATAAATCTATACATATAAAGAAGAACCTAAACCATGTTTTCTAATTCTATTCTATCTGCATGTAAACGATATGTCAACTACAGAATAAATGTGTGTAAAGAATGTGTGCAAATTTTCTGATTAAACTCAAAAAACAGCAGTAACGCTAAAGAACCAAGCTGTTTACCAGCTGCCCTGTTCACAATGCAGAGCTAAAGGAAAATGCTTTCCGTGTACAGGAAAACCACCCATTATGACTCAGCAGCAATAACACTAGGCAGATTTCCAACAACAGTAAGTTTCCAGAAACAGTCAATGAATTTTGGCTTCATCTAAAACAAAAATGTCCACACTGCTGGTCCTTCCTTAAAAGCTCAGCAAAATAAATCCTTTCTTAACTCCTAAAACATTACCAGCTAAAATCAGAGAACTTTTTATTTTCCTTGCAGTGATATAACTATTACTGTTTATCTTCCCCAGTTTAAACATTAAGTTATTTAGCTGAAACAGACAAAGGTGCAGACTAACCTCATACTGATCCCCTGCACACAACCTGGCAAATCCTGCAAGACCTGAAAAGCAAGAAGACATAGAACTTGAAAGAAATTCCCCAAACCCAAAGCATATCTATGAATTACTGTCATCATTAAAAAAAAGAATATCACCTGAAGATTTCTACACAAACTCTGTGAGCCCCCACCACACACCCAAAGTCATTAAATAGCACTCATCTGAATGAATGAAAGCACAGCCATTAGGGCCACTTCAGGCTTCTGCAATGCCTTCATCAGTAATAAGCACTCTAGTATCTCATATAGCAGAGGTGCATGTATGTGGCATATCAGTTTTCCTATTGTGATGCTCTTGAGGTAAAGGATTTTGACATGTTTAAGAAGATCTGGCTTAGCTGGAGCTCAAAGTTCATATGCTACAGCAGGGCTGCTCAAGTCCAGTCCTGGAGAGCTACCGTCCTGCAACTGTTAGATGCATCCTTACTCCATCAGACAGGATCAGTTCTGAACAGGCCTGGTAATGAAACATTCATTTAATTCAGGTGTGTTGGAGCAGGGAAGCATCTGAAAGCTGCAGGATGGTCGCTCTGGAGGATCCGTGTACTACAGTATCGGATCTGCAGGAAGGTCATGTTGCAGTGTTATTTACCTGAGTGGACCAGAGAAATGAAGGTAGGTATGCAGCAGGGTGAAGATTTTATTACCTTTCAATCTGATGTGGAATTCTCCAAGCTGGTTCTCAAAGTCATTTTCCATCACACACATAATCTGCAGAAAGAATGCATAATCTATTCACTTCTGCACTATTTGAACAGTACAACTGCTATCTTTAAAATATCTTCATTGATAATATAGATCATATCTGACTCCTCATATGCAATAAACTCAGTTTATCTTACCTCTGTGCATTCCTTGTATCCTTTAGAAGCCTCTCCCAGGCTTTCCTTAGCCTCCTTGCTTCCTGGGTTGGCTGTGTATGCCTTCATTATCTTGTGGGCTCCATCTCTCAGTTTCCTGTGCAGGCAGTAGGTTTCATAAAACTCCTCAACCTGAGAAGAGAATTCCCAAATCTCAGAAGAGAAGCTCTGTTCTGGCAGAAACATTAACAATCAAGAGGCTTTGGAGAGCAAGAGATTCATTCAGTGTTGCTCATTTTGGGAATTTATAACTGGTAAAACTGTGTGTATATAGACATGCAATCACAAATAAAAGATACATGTAGTATCTGATCACACATGAGAAAATTTTTTTGGCAATGTGCAAGAGGACCAGCCAAGAAAAGAGACGATGAGTTAAAAAACAGGTTTCATATATGGACTCCAGATGCATTAGCAGGCATACCGCCACTGTGACCTGAATGTGCCTGTATCAGGAAGACACGCATGTGATAGTGTAAACTTTGGGGAGAGAGTGTGTTGGCCAGAACCCTATAAACGGGGTGCTGTCCAATGATTGGGGGGGACTTCACTGTGATTGGGCCAAGACTTAGGCTGCAATATTGTAATAAAGCTTTGCTGTTCAACCAAAGTCTGCAGCATGTAGAGTCTTTTTCCTGCAACATCATCACACCATCATCAAGAGGAGCCTGACCAGAAAAAACCACACTCAGCATTTGTAAGACATGATCTAAAAAGGAAATACTATAATTTCAACTCATGATGACAAATGATGCAATGTTACAAGAAAAAACAACAACTATAGATTCACTGAAAAAACCAATTACCCAAGTTAAAGGAATAGATCTATAGAGATGGGAGAACCACAGTGCTGGTTCTGTTGGACCTCAGTGCAGCTTTTGACACTGTTGATTTTACTGAATTTTACTGAATCGACTGGAGAGTTGGATCGGACTCTCCGGTCCAGTGCTCAACTAGTTTGAATCTTACATAAAGAACATGGATTTCTTTGTTTCAATTGGAAACTTCTCATCAAAGAGGTCAAAGGTCACATGTGGGGAACCCCAACGTTCAATCCTTTCAATCCTAGGACCCCTCCTATTTAATATTTATATGCTCCCACTGGCTCAGGTTATAACAGGAAATAAGATCAGCTACCATAACTATGCGGATGATGCACAGCTCTACATCACGATGTCACCAGGTGACTCTGAACCCATCCGTTCACTGAATAGATGCTTAGAACAGATAAATGTGTGGATGTGCCAAAACTTTCCAGCTGAACAGAAACAAAACTGAAGTTATTATCTTTGGACCTAAAGAGGAGCGATCTAGAATCACAGCTTCAGTTATAACTAAAACCAGCGATCAGCCCGAAACCTGGAAGTAGTGATGGACTCTGACCTGAACCTTCAGAGCCACATTAAGACAGTCACAAAGTCGGCCTTCTACCATCTGAAGAACATCTCCAGGATTAGAGGACTAATGTCTCAACGAGATCTAGAGAAACTCATCTATGTGTTTATCTTTACTCGCATTGATTACTGCAACAGTATCTTCACAGGTCTGACTAACAAAATCAAACAGCTGCAGCTGATCCAGAACGCTGCTGGTCGCGTTCTCACTAAAACCAGGAAGACAGAGCACATAACAGTTTTAAAGTTACTACACTGGCTCCCTGTAGCTCAGAGAATAGACTTTAAAATACTGTTGTTAGTTTATAAATCACTGAACAGTTTAGCACCACGATACATTATAACTCTGCTGTTGTTGTATTAGCCTTCCAGATATCTGTGCTTCTGGTTAGTGTGCAACATACACTAGCCAGAAGCATTTAGTTTAAGAATTCGTTCCACCTATAACACCTTCAAAAGGAACTTTAACCTGTGACTAATCAGACTGGATTAACAAAGAGTATCCGGTCAACAAAGGATGGATTTTGTGGCTCTTACCTTACTGAGATGAAACTCCAGCTTTGTGATGTACCGCTCAATCACCTTAACTTGCTGTCAGGGAAAAAGCAAAGGCAAATTCATACCACTTTACTGACTGAACCATTTTATCATCATATTACAAAATGAGGTTTAGAAACAGGGGAAGAAAATATTGTTAGCTCACCTTGTCTAATTCATAAAGGAAACCCTAAAGAAAAGAATAAAACATCAAGTCATCAGAAATCATCAGAGTTGTATTTAAAGACATGAAGAGTGAATTGTCAGTTTGTGTGCAGAATGATCAGAACATACCAGTCTGGAGTTTCTCTTAGACACTCTAATCTGTCTGTTGATGTTTTCCAAATCCATTTGATAAACATGCAGGTAAGACCTTTAATACAACACAATCCATCAGAATGAAAATAAACTCTAGTACAGAAAAGTTTATTGAAATGTGCTTTGTGCGTTTAATTTGATGGGAACAAGCCTCATGAAAATCAGCTGATTGACGCCCCTGTCAAAACATAGAGACTTTATTGCAGCAGATAATCTCACTGAAAATGTTA